ATGGAGCATTTTCATATGTAATTTATTGATTGAAGTGATATATTTGATAGAGTTGGTCTGACTTGTCTTTCATTAAAGTCAACTTTGTAAAATCAACATTTACATTCCCATGGTACCATTTCTGATTCTTATGATATGAAATTGAATTGTACATCATTATAGACCATCTACATCATGATGGTAAAGTTTCAATAGGTGGTCCTTTTTCAAGATTTCCACCTTTTCATACAAGTTGACCATATGTGTGATTGAGGGAAGAAATCTCTAAATATGAAAGTCAAAATAAATTTGATATTCGATTTTTACTAATCAAATGGAACATTTTCATGTCAGGATTTAATATGTTTTGATGAGAAACTCAAAAGTTATTGTTGACCTATTGTACCTCACAACTTCCCTTTTCACTCAATACTTTTATATCTACAGACTTGAACTTTTGAAATTTGATATGAAAGTGATTATAAATGTTGTTAATGATGATATATACTATATAATCTCACTAAAGGATTTTGAAATTATCATTCTTCCTATGGTTTCATTTTACAAATTTTTAATCTTACATTATTTACAAAGTTAATATTTTATAAATTGAAAAACTAAATATAATACATTGTTCTACTCATCATTTACAATCGAATGATATAACAATCAATAAATTGGCCTAGGGTTTGAACTTTGAAACATTGGGTCTGGACTTAAATATTGGGTTTGGGTTTGGGTTTGGGTTTGGGTTTGGGTTTGGGTTTGGGTTTGGGTTTGGGTTTGGGTTTGGGTTTGGGTTTGGGTTTGGGTTTGGGTTTGGGTTTGGGTTTGGGTTTGGGTTTGGGTTTGGGTTTGGGTTTGGGTTTGGGTTTGGGTTTGGGTTTGGGTTTGGGTTTGGGTTTGGGTTTGGGTTTGGGTTTGGGTTTGGGTTTGGGTTTGGGTTTGGGTTGGGGTTTGGGTTTGGGTTTGGGTTTGGGTTTGGGTTTGGGTTTGGGTTTGGGTTTGGGTTTGGGTTTGGGTTTGGGTTTGGGTTTGGGTTTGGGTTTGGGTTTGGGTTTGGGTTTGGGTTTGGGTTTGGGTTTGGGTTTGGGTTTGGGTTTGGGTTTGGGTTTGGGTTTGGGTTTGGGTTTGGGTTTGGGTTTGGGTTTGGGTTTGGTTTGGGGTTGGTTGGTTTTAGCTTTTGGTTTGGGTTTGGGTTTGGGTTTGGCTTTGGGTTTGGGTTTGGGTTGGGTTTGGGTTTG